TTATAATATACTGTGCAATCACATACTAAGAGTTTTTACTCAGTTCAAAATTAAAGTGCAATATTTGCTTTCGCTGCTTGTTACTTCTTGAAGAAAGTGTTGTTTTTGGTTTATACATTTTTGCACTTTATTTTGTTGTTTTTCAATCCAATTATGTTTTAAAAATATTTTATTCGAGTAAATGATCGAAAATTACTGCACTATTATTTGTTTTTCTTTTAAGTAAATTTAGCCTACTTTTGCTGAAAGAGAAAATATGGACTATTGATAGTGCCTTGAATAATGTCGGCTTTTTTCATTCATGTTATGGGTATTTTTATACAAAGGAAATTTTTTTGTGCCTGTTGAAAATTAAAGTTTACTGACATAGCCATAAAAAAATGTTGCTTTATTTATCTGACCGTATTGAAATGTATTTGTTAGGTTTTCAGTCAATTAAATTTGGTTCAATAAACAATATGTGGTTATTTTTAAAATTTTCAATAAACATTCGATCAGTCCGGCCCTCGGCTTGCAGCAAAAATTTTTATCTGGCCCTCCGTCCATTTGACTTTGACACCCCTGCTTTAAGTAATTCATATCTGAACCCCCAAAATGTGGCAACAAATACAGCATATACATTAAAAGGACGATCTAACACTCACAGGCATATATTCTTTATCCTCTGCGAAGAACGACTATTACCACCATGCTGAGAAGCTGAGAAAGGAGCATAATCTCCAGCACATTACTGTTGATCTAGATGTCTGTCTAATCTTGCCCACAGGAAGCCACGGCCCGCACACCAGAATGACCAGCCCAATATGCATTGAAGGAGAAAATGTAACAAAAACTGTTTTCTTTTTTTTTTTTCCATTACATTATGGTATGATTTCATATCATGTAATAGAGTGCTATTTTTCTCTTGAAATTTTTTTTTTGTTTTATTTTTCTGCGAGGCTTGAACAGATGAATGGCATTTCCATTCATTTCAACAGGGAAAGATGATTTGAGTGTTTTGAGTTACCAGCGTAGTTCAGGAACAAATGAAACTCCTTTCTCAAGGCCCCCCACTGTATCATGTTATCTGTTCATGGGACAAAACTGAAAAACAAAAATGTCGCTTGTCAGAAACAAAGAAAAACGTATACTTAACTTCGATCCGCCCACGGATAGCTGAATTAGCTTGACGCCATTTCTGCGGAGTCATGTAGCTCACTTTTTCCCCCCCCCTCATCGTCTATTTAGCTAAAGATGTTGAACAGGGTTGCCGTTGCGTGTATACTGAGAGCCAACTATAGAACACAATGACTTCTACAAAACACACCTGTGGTAAATCAAAACATTTTTACAAGAAAGACGTATTGACAAACTCAGACCACAAATGCTATTTAACAGAAAAAAACAACATTTTATTTAATGTGAGTTGATCATCACGCGGGAGGGGGGGAAAAAAGACACAATTGACACACGTGCGTGTTTCTGTATTTTGTACATGGGCAGAAAATGTCCCCCATTTCCAGAATGACCTATAATTTTTTTTTTTTTAAATGTAATATGCCCTCAAGGATTTTATAAGAGGACTCTGTCTGAAGTATAAAGCCAAGGTGTAGTAAGTGAGGCACTACTGGTGATAAATCTACTCTGAGCTCCTGGTGGTGAACACAAAGTGTGTCACGCAGGTTGCCGCGCCGACCCTTTGATCTTGTTTTCCAGTGTGTGCCTCCCGGCCAGACATGCTTCTCTTCAGTCTGCTGCGCAGCGCAGCACCTTGAGAAGACGCGCTGCCCTTACTGGACAAGCCCTCTTGTTTTTGCTTTTAATCCCCCACCGTGTTTCCCTCACTCCGCCTCGCTCTGCTTCCCCTTCGGTCACACCAAACGAGACTTGGACATATCCCTCGACGACTGGTTCTCCGGATTTTATTAGGGCCCAAAGCAATTAATCGGCTGGCTGATTTTTATCAGCCAATATTCAACCTTTTAAAATTGAGCAATTTTTTTTTCTTTACACATGACAACACAAGACAAACGATCCCTCCGTCAAAATGATCCATTTTTGCAGATGTTTCGCTGTTGTAGAATTAAACATATACCAAAAGACAATGTATGGCAACTGGCAAATGTTCTTCCTGTGATTCATATCTTCATTGTACTGCTTATTGAACTCAACTCTGTCCCTTAAATTCAACTCTGTCCCTTTAAGAAGTGACTTCCCTGCCTCAAGGTAAATCTTGCAGTCTTCACTGTTTGACTTTTACCACATTCGTTCCATTTATCTTCTTCAGCAACAAGTTCCAATGGATTCATTTGGATTTTTTTTTAACAATGTAAAATTACCTGAACCTTTCGTGGTGAATTTGGCATGAATTTTAATCATTGTTTTGAATTCACTTCAGCAGTAGTCACTCATATTCTGACCCCCCCACCCCCCAAGTCCCCTTGCTGCCTATTGTTTATCAACATTATGAAAAGTCTTCTAAACACTCCCCTCAATGAACCCTGTGAGTTGGTCACATGCAAATGTGTGTTTACAAGACAAACACAAGCAGGCATGTTTTCTTAAACCCATGGAAGAATGCCTACCCGCTATCTTCTCTGTCTTCTTCCATCAAGTGTGTTTGTGTCTTTTTTTTTTTTTTGCTGATAACAGATGTTACCATGACATGCATCTGGGCTTCGTACCCCTGCTCTGCCTCCCACTGTTGATGATGATGATGACGATGCTCCACGCTGAACACCCCGCATTCCCGGGACCCTCACAGTGGGGGTTGTAATGTCACTTATACTGTATAGACAAAAGTATTGAGACGTGCGTTTTAACCCTCCTGTTGCGCTCGTTTGGTGGCTCAATGTGACTTTCTGCTTTCATGGTCTGACAGAAGTTTTATCAATTTTTTTTTTGTACATTTAAAAGAACAAAATCTCGATTTTCACGGGAAAAATGTGGGGCATGGGGGAAATTTTAAAAAATGATGTACATTAATAAGTCTAGATTTTTACTTATTTTAAATTGAGCTGCAGTATAATTAAAGCAGCGATGGGCAACCTCAATGCTGGAGGGGGCCACAAATTTTATTCAATGCTACATGGGGGACCCATATAGAACCACGCACTGACAAAGCAGATTTATGACCAAAAAAACAAAATGCTATTTTAAATACAGACAAAAAATATGTGCAACTGAAAATACATTTTTGAATGCATGTATAAAGGATCCAATATTCTAATGCAACAGTAAAGCAATTTTCTTGATATATGGCATATCTGGCCCGCCACATCATTTTATGTGGCCCGCGAAAGCAAATCAAGCATGTCAAGTTCCATGATGCTTGCGAAAATCTGAACCAAAATTTCAAATTTTGTCATATGTCACCCACAATGACGGTCATTATTCTTGACTTCTGATTTTAAAACTAGTTGTCCATCAATTTGTTGTGATAAAACCTTTATATTGTTACAGTGGGATGATACATTCCAATAATTTGCAGATAATATCAAGTGTTCTGTACTTTTTTTGTAGGTTTGCTCTCGTGTCACCGTCAATAAAGGCCACCCAGCAAGTAAATTGAACACAAGTCTTCATAGTCAGAGCGAGTAAACATACTAAATGCTTTTTTTTTTCTTCCTGTCCTCTGTGTGATCTTTGCGCGAGCCCGCTGCTCTGAGCTGTAAAAGTCATTAATGCCTGATTGACTCTTAAAGAGTTGAACTTTGAACTGCTTCACACAAGTCATATTCGTCTCAAGTGGCTTTCGCTTACAGTACGCGCACGCATAAAAGCAGCCGTGCGCCTTTTTTGGTCTGTTGAACCACTTGACATTTTTGAATGAATCGTCGGTACTTGCAAGTCAGTTGAAGGCGGAGATTAACGATTCATCTGCCTCGTATCCCTCAGTACTCATCACTGTACGCGGCACTTGTTACGTTTAAAAATGCAAACTCATTTAT